GAAGGTGAATGTCAGTAATGTATAATTGGATATACATTTGATTATATTGAAAAATATTGTTAACCTATATGTGGAAATGGTGTTGTGTCTGATGATGAAGAATGTGATGATTTAATATAGAAAATGGAGATGGATGTTCTAGTTAATGTAAAATTGAATAGAATTATATTTGTAAGAATTATTAATACTCATTTTCAGAATGTAATTATGAAAAATATCCTTCATTCTTACTTTCATTAACAAATATGCAATATCAATGTAACCTATTTTGGATAAAATTAGAATTGATCTAGTATTAACAACATTTATGATTGATTAATATTTGGAATCTTCAGGGAAATTATTATTTTATGAAGTAAATGCAGATATCTTATGTAATATATAAACCTAAGTCTTCCTAATTATCATACTTATGATTACCTATTATTCAAATTATTTAGTCATAAAACTATTAAGGAAATTAGAATATTAATAGTTTTTTTATTTTGGTTAATAAATTGCTAAATTTTTTATGAAAGTCTTAAAATCTATGTAAAAATTCAAAAGAAACTTTGAAACTTATGCATTCTAAGACTTTCTAAACAAAAATAGTTGGGATTTCCTTTTTATGGCTTTTCTCTAAATCTAGTCAAAAACTAACAACATTATTTCTAAATTAATTGCATATCTGATTTTGTATATCAGTCTTTTTCTTTCATCAACAATTTTTTATAGAATAGGTATTCCAAATATAAGGAATCCTAAATAATTATGGATTTCAAAGTCAAATTAAATCAAAATATTGAAAAAAGCTTTATTTATAAGCGTATTAGTGATGGTACAATAAAATCAAAAACTACAAATTATGTTATTAACTTTTGTATGCTAATTTTATTTAATCTATCTTTTCATTATGAAACCTATTAAGAACATCATAGATTAAATTAATACTATGGCACTGGAAATAAGTTCATTTATATTTTGTTTTTCATCAGCATTATATTTGAATGATTTTACAGATAAATTGAATTATAGTATTTAAATATAATTTGCATGGTTTTAAATAGGAATGTTATTGTCATGCTTATTTATTAATTTCGTATCATAATTATGCATGATAGGTGTAGAACTGAAAAGATTATAGTTAAAAAGTTATATCATTCCAAATAAAATTAGATGCCAATGAAATCTAATCCATTTTTAATTCCTTGAAAATATTTTTGAATTTTAGTGTAATTGTATAACCATATTATATAATAAAAGCATATAAAATGTTAATTTGAATATCCTTTTATTAATCGATAGATTCATAACTTTATTTCCAAATTTAATACAATCACCTTATTTGACTTAATTATTTTCAAACTCTTTTCCCATTTCTTTTTCTGTAAAATGTATAAAATTTCATTTTTACACATTTTCAAAATATCCCCATATAAATTTATTATTAAAATAATTTATAATCATTAAAAAAAAAATTTATCGAGAACTGTTAAATTAAATAAAAAATTCTATATTTATTTTGAAGATACTTGCAAATTTAAATAAAACTATGTATTATTAATTAAGATATTCATTTCAAAAATAAAATATACAGTTTGATTTTGTTTTTAAAATACTAAACTGAGTTGAATTTTTCATTGAATTTTAACTACAAGCTCCTCTTATCTTTTATTTTTAGAAATATCAAATCATTTAAATTAAGGCCTACAAGAAGAGACTTTCTTTCAAAATAAATGGGTTATATTTTCATTAAAATATATTTGATTTCAAATTAGAGATTCTAATTCTTAATAACATATGATCGAAAGACTTATTTATAAGATAGCCCCATACAACCTAAGGGAATCATTTCAGAAATTACATAATTCTTTAATATTTTGATAAATTGTACAACAATTAATGTTAAGACATAAATAAAATATGATTAAATTGACAGATTACCATTTAAATAAATTATCATCTAGTTATTAGCTTAACAATAAACTTGATAAAATATGATTTATATTCTTTTTAAATTTGCATATTAGAAAGTAAATTATCATTGGAAATAACAAAGAGAATCAAAAAGTAGTTGTAAAATGAGATTAGCTTTGTTTTAAATTAAGATGAAAATCGAAATGCCTATATATATTTTAGTATTAAGAATTTGCCATTTCAAATATTATTTTTTATTTATTATATAAATATAAGTAAATAATCAGCTAAATTAAAATCATATTTGATACCTATAAGTTTTAATTTTTATCAAACATCATAATTCGCTTTCAATAAACCTTGATTAAAATTTATTCATTTTTTGATAATCAAATTCTTATATTATAATCAATTATTTGAACAATATAATTCTTTTTAAGAGATAATTTTAAACATCATAAAAACCTAAATAGTTGAAATCGAAATAAACAAATAATCTTTTATTTTATTACCAATACTTATAAAATATTCCTTCGATTATCACAAGAGTAATTTTTATTTATTAATAAAAAATTTATAACTTTCTTAATAATTATTATTAATTTAATAGAAAATAAAAAGATGATATCAATATGAGCAAAATATTTATACATTGTTATTCTGTTTTTTAATAGTGATTATATATATGCATAGGCATTCTAATGAATTTTTGACTAACTTATCAAAATTAAACTCCCAGAATATAAGATTATATGCATATTTGTTATAACTTAAAGAATAGATTTTTTCTAAGGATTTATGATTTTAATGTTTTGAAAATTCAATAAATAGTATTGAATTCTTATTATTTATATGATGAAACATAATAAATAAATTTAAATGCAAACTATTGAAAGATAAAAAATAGATGATATGCTTAATAATAATATGGTTGACGAAGCTTTAAATTATATTAATGATTCTTTAAATTTGTGCCCTAATTCTGCTTCTGCTTAAACATTAACATTAAGAGGTAATTATCTCTGAAATTCTAATAGGAAAAATCTTATTAATCAAAAAGTTATATGATGAAGCAATCATCAATTTGAACTAAGCAATTCAATTAAACCCATTTTTAGAAGAATCATTTTATCTTAGATGTAAATTTGTTTTATAATTTCAAGCAAAATGGTTTATAAAAAAAAAGATGTGGAAGGATGCTCATGAAGATTGTGAACGTGCTCTTAAATTAAATCCAAATTATGCTTTGGCATATGCAGGATTGGGTATAATGATAAATAATAATTAGGTATATTGATGGTAAAATAAAGTAAAAATTATGATGGACTTATCTTTTTTAAATAAGCTATAGATTTAGATGATAATTGTTGCTTAGCTTATTATAATTTAGGTTTTAAGGTTTGTTGATTATTTAGGGAATCTATATTTTCAAATTGATAATTATGATCCGGCATTAAGAAATTTAAATAAGGCTATTTAAATTGATAAAAAATTTGCTAATGCTTATGAAAAAAGAGGTTTCAACTTATAATATATATTAGGAATGTTATTTTGGAAAACAGGCTATAAAGATAAGGCACTAAAGGACTTTGACAAATTAATAGAATTAAAACCAACATCTTATAATGCTTATGCTTGTAGAGGTAAACTAATTATTAAATTACTTAGCAATTTTAAACGAGATTATTGGAGAAGATGAAAAGGCACTCATTGATTTTAATAAAGTGATTGAATTAAAATCTGATTCTATGATGCTTTATCATCAAAGAGGTAAATTATTAATAAAAGAACATAGGACTTTTATAAATGAAGAGTTTGAAAATAGATGAAAAAGAAATTACTTAAATATTAAACAATAAAGCTTTTGATTAGAATTGTGATGCATGGGAATAGTCTAAATTAAGAGGTAAACTAAAAAAATATTATAAAGAAATTATATTAGGATAGCAATAAATTATAATGCAAGCTATTGAAGATTTTAATAAAGCTCTTGAATTGAATCCTGAATTTCTTCAAGCTAAATTTTGTAGAAGTAATTGATATTTAATACATAGATTTATTAAAAGGAATGATTAAAGGTGATAGAATAACTTTGAGTGGATTTATTCAATTCCTTTAAATTAAACCTAGTTTATTTGATAGTATTATTAATATTTAATAATATTCTAGAAGTCGTAGATTAGGATCCTAATTAATCTGAAGAAGATGAGATTAGTAGTAAGTATTTTAACATAATTAAATAGTGTTAAGATATTATTTTTGTGGAATTAAAAATTTGAAATTAAAAGATTCTGAAAAACCAATTGATATTGATTACAAAACTATACTTTAATATTTTAGTTAATGTAATAAGAAGAATTATATTATAAGTACCTATATAATAGAAGATAATTAAGGAAGAAAAAATGATAAAAGAATTAATCAATAAGATTGAATTAAATTCAAATTCAGCTGAATTGTATATAAATATAGGTAATATATCACTAATAATAAGGAAAATTATATATGAAATAAAAAAATTATGAATTGGCACTTGAAAATTTAAACAAAGGTATTGAATTGGATCCAAAATCTTTTTTAGCTTATTTTAAGAGAGGTATGAAATAATAGAAAACATATTAGCAAAACTGTTTATTAATTTGTAATATTATTATAAATCTCTTGAAGATTATTAAGAAGCTCTTAAAATATTAGAGTTTGATCAAGAAAATCTTGAAAAATAAGTGAATATGAATTAATAGGATTATTAATCTAAATCTTTATATATAATTAAATTANTAGGTTTTAAGGTTTTTTTATTATTTAGGGAATCTATATTTTCAAATTGATAATTATGACCCGGCATTAAGAAATTTAAATAAGGCTATTTAAATTGATGAAAAATTTGCTAATGCTTATGAAAAAAGAGGTTTCAATTTATGATATATATTAGGAATGTTATTTTGGAAAACAGGCTATAAAGATAAGGCACTAAAGGACTTTGAAAAATTAATAGAATTAAAACCAACATCTTATAATGCTTATGCTTGTAGAGGTAAACTAATTATTAAATTACTTAGCAATTTTAAACGAGATTATTGGAGAAGATGAAAAGGCACTCATTGATTTTAATAAAGTGATTGAATTGAAATCTGATTCTATGATGCTTTATCATTAAAGAGGTAAATTATTAATGAAACAACATAGGACTTTTATAAATGAAGAGTTTGAAAATAGATGAAGAAGAAATTACTTAAATATTAAACAATAAAGCTTTTGATTAGAATTGTGATGCATGGGAATAGTCTAAATTAAGAGGTAAACTAAAAAAATATTACAAAGAAATTATACTCGGATAGCAATAAATTATAATGCAAGCTATTGAAGATTTTAATAAAGCTCTTGAATTGAATCCTGAATTTCTTCAAGCTAAATTTTGTAGAAGTAATTGATATTTAATACATAGATTTATTAAAAGGAATGATTAAAGGTGATAGAATAACTTTGAGTGGATTTATTCAATTCCTTTAAATTAAACCTAGTTTATTTGATAGTATTATTAATATTTAATAATATTCTAGAAGTCGTAGATTAGGATCCTAATTAATCTGAAGAAGATGAGATTAGTAGTAAGTATTTTAACATAATTAAATAGTGTTAAGATATTATTTTTGTGGAATTAAAAATTTGAAATTAAAAGATTCTGAAAAACCAATTGATATTGATTACAAAACTATACTTTAATATTTTAGTTAATGTAATAAGAAGAATTATATTATAAGTACCTATATAATAGAAGATAATTAAGGAAGAAAAAATGATAAAAGAATTAATCAATAAGATTGAATTAAATTCAAATTCAGCTGAATTGTATATAAATATAGGTAATATATCACTAATAATAAGGAAAATTATATATGAAATAAAAAAATTATGAATTGGCACTTGAAAATTTAAACAAAGGTATTGAATTGGATCCAAAATCTTTTTTAGCTTATTTTAAGAGAGGTATGAAATAATAGAAAACATATTAGCAAAATTGTTTATTAATTTGTAATATTATTATAAATCTCTTGAAGATTATTAAGAAGCTCTTAAAATATTAGAGTTTGATCAAGAAAATCTTGAAAAATAAGTGAATATGAATTAATAGGATTATTAATCTAAATCTTTATATATAATTAAATTATTGAAAGATATATAGCATGGGATTACTTAAATCAAATTATAATTTAGAAAAGCAGAGAAATTAAATTAATAATAAACTTAGACTTCTTACGATTTGTTGTCACTCTTAGAGTAATAAGTTAAATAATAATTGAGAGGATAATCATAATTTAATAATAATTAAGAATATCATTTAAATTAAAACATTTATTTAAAATAAATTAATGTATAAAATGGATAAATTAACAGTGATTTAAATAATGTTCGAAATTCAAATTCTAATGTATATGCACATACAAGAATTCATGATCAAGAAACTAATAATGAAATTTTATAATTAGAAATGTAAAAGGAAACTTCAACTATTGATTATCAAGACTTATTAAAATAATAATAAAATTTATATCAAAATTATAGAATTTCATTAGATAGATCAATTTTTTATTTATTAAAAAATTTTCCAGATTTATTTACATTTAACGAATAAGAATCTGATTTTGAAGACAATTAAAGAAGTTAAATAGTTTTAGAAAATGGATTATTATTGGGTTTAGGAAGCTCAGGATAAGTTTATTATACAGTTAATCCAAAAACTAATAAACCTGCTGCATTAAAAGTATAATCAAATTGTACTTTTGATGATATAATTTACAAAACTATTGAATGTAGATTACAATATTCAATTTCATTGAAATATCCAGAATCTATTATAGGAATATAAGGTAAAATTATAATTAGATAAAATTCTTTCAATAATTATAATATGTATGCCTATTTAGATCTAGGTCTTGGTAGTTTAAGATAATTTAGAAATAAAATGGTTAGATTTACAGAATCATAACTTGATAATATATATAATTCCATATTAGATAGTATAATTAAACTACATACTCTTAAGATATCTCATGGAGATATTAAATTGGAAAACATCATTAATACAACAGATAATGGATGGGTTTTGGGTGATTTTGGCAGTGCATAAGCTTATTTAACTCCTTATGGAAATTATCCAATTGTTGGAACTATGGCTTATTTACCTAAATAAATCAGAAAAGCCAGAAATAATAATCATTAATACTTTAAAATGAATTTATTCAAAAAAGACATTTATGCATTTCAATTAGTAATGCTATAACTTATTTTTTATGAAGAGAAGTTTTCTAAGCTGCAATAAATATTAGATGAATAAAAATATATTCATCCAAAAATTGATCAATTATATAATAAAGATTTTATTTCTATTAAAGCTGAATTTATGAAATTGAAATTCGAAAGAAAATAATCAATTAAAGAATTAATACCCATCCATGTTCAAGTTTATTAAAATTTTAATTTAAATTACTAATATGAAGTTGAATTAAATTAATACATCTATTTGAGTAATTTTGCAAAAGAAAAAAAATTAAATAAATTTTTGTATATTTTACTAAAAATATAAAATATTGAAAATCTTGAAAATAGAGTGAAGCAAATGAGAATAGCCAAAAAATTTTATAGAAAGTATACTCCTTTGATATCAGCTTAAGAGATTTTTGATGAGATTGTATTTGAGTAATTAACAGAATTAGAATATGATTTATACTTTGATATTTTTGAAATAAAAGGAGCTAAAATGTTACAATTAATGATTTGTTAAGGTTATTAATAAATATAAAAAAAAGAAAATTACAGCCTAAAATTATAAGAGGCTGAGATTCTTTATGTAATGGGTGATTGGGATGATGCAAGAATTATCATAAATGGCATTGAAAATGAATTAGAATTAGATAATGATGAATAAATTTTAAAGTTTTGTTTTTTAAATGCAAGATTAAATAATCAATGGATAGAAGCATTTGAGGATATCATTACATATATTAGTAATTATAAAGAGCCCTTTTAAATGGTAATTGAATGGCAATTTATCATATTGGATTCGCTTTGGATTGATAAGTCATTAAAATAAATAAATATAATGTATTTAAAATATTAAGTTTGGTAACCAGAAAAATTTAAAAGAAAATTAAATTTANACTTTTGATGATATAATTTACAAAACTATTGAATGTAGATTACAATATTCAATTTCATTGAAATATCCAGAATCTATTATAGGAATATAAGGTAAAATTATAATTAGATAAAATTCTTTCAATAATTATAATATGTATGCCTATTTAGATCTAGGTCTTGGTAGTTTAAGATAATTTAGAAATAAAATGGTTAGATTTACAGAATCATAACTTGATAATATATATAATTCCATATTAGATAGTATAATTAAACTACATACTCTTAAGATATCTCATGGAGATATTAAATTGGAAAACATCATTAATACAACAGAAAATGGATGGGTTTTGGGTGATTTTGGCAGTGCACAAGCTTATTTAACTCCTTATGGAAATTATCCAATTGTTGGAACTATGGCTTATTTACCTAAATAAATCAGAAAAGCCAGAAATAATAATCATTAATACTTTAAAATGAATTTATTCAAAAAAGACATTTATGCATTTCAATTAGTAATGCTATAACTTATTTTTAATGAGGAGAATTTTTATAAACTTCAATAAATACTAGATGAATAAAAATATATTCATCCAAAAATTGATCAATTATATAATAAAGATTTTATTTCTATTAAAGCTGAATTTATGAAATTGAAATTCGAAAGAAAATAATTAATTAAATAATTAATACCCATCCATGTTCAAATCTATTAAAATTTTAATTTAAATTATTAATATGAAGTTGAATTAAATTAATACATCTATTTGAGTAATTTTGCAAAAGAGAAAAAACTAAATAATTTTTTGTATATATTACTAAAATTATAAAATATTGAAAATCTTGAAAATAGAGTGAAGCAAATGAGAATAGCCAAAAAATTTTATAGAAAGTATACTCCTTTGATATCAGCTTAAGAGATTTTTGATGAGATTGTATTTGAGTAATTAACAAAATTAGAATATGATATATACTTTGATATTTTTGAAATAAAAGGAGCTAAAATGTTACAATTAATGATTTGTTAAGGTTATTAATAAGTATAAAAAACAGAAAATTACAGCTTAAAATTATAAGAAGCTGAGATTCTTTATGTAATGGGTAATTGGGATGATGCAAGAATTATCATAAATGGCATTGAAAATGAATTAGAATTAGATAATGATGAATAAATCTTAAAGTTATGTTATTTAAAAGCAAGATTAAATAATCAATGGATAGAAGTATTTGACGATATCATCAAGTATATTAGAAATTATAAAGAGCCCTTTTAAATGGTAATTGAATGGCAATTTATCATTTTGGATTCGCTTTGGATTAATAAGTCCTTAAAGTAAATAAATATAATGTATTTAAAATATTAAGTTTGGGAACCAGAAAAATTTAAAAGAAAATTAAATTTAACAAATTATCTTCCTTAATTATTGCTTGACTTTAATAGTTTTGAAATATTTAAATAATAAGAGGTTACATTTCATTCATTCATGGAATAAATGAGATAGTTGAATTATGATAATTACTCTATTTTTTTTCAATTCTGGGCATATTGCGAATTATGTGATTATAATACTGAAAACTATTATGATCTAATCACATTATTTATAAATTTTATAGAGGATAATTTAGAAGAATATTATTTTATTTGGATTGCATATGATTAGTTTGCTTAATATCTTACTTATATAAAAGATTATAAATTGGCACATTAATATTTTGAGAAAGCATTAAAAATAGTTTAAAATGATTGTCCTTTAAATTAATATAATGTTTATTACCATTTGTGGAGATTAGAATTTAAAGAAAAATAATAATGTAATTGGGATATATTTGGTATCATATTGAAGATTTTAATTAAAATGCCAACAACAAACTTAAATGATTATCTTGAAAAAATTTTATTTGATGAATTAAATTCCTATGTTAAATTATTTAATTTTAAACTTGATACACAACCTTTTGTATAGGAAACATTATCAGAAGAAGATATCAGAACACTTAGTTTAAACTCAGAATTAACGAGAAGATTTTTTAAAAAAAATATTAGTTTTTAAGAATGTATATCTATTATTGAAGAATTATTTCCATAAGTTTATATAAGATCAGGAAATAAACATAACTTTGATGATTTTTTAATTTTTTCATTTGCAAATTTGACTAAAATGAAAACTGAAAGTGAATTTTCACAAAAACAGTTTTAATATCTTGTAAGATTATTGTAGTCATTTACAATATTATCATCAATTAATCCAAATAGCTAAATTTTCTAAAAATTAATTAATGAACATATTGAATTTAAGTCTTACATTTAAAAGTGTTTATTCTATTTTGATATAGAAAGGTCAAAAGAAGCATTTAACATGTACAATTCTTATTTGTATCATCAAATATATTATTGATTAATAAATTTACAAAAAAGACAAATAAAAATATCACAATGTTTTTATTATTTTCATTTAATATTATACATTTTTCAAGAAGTTATTTATAATTTTATTAGTTTTTAATATAATTCATTAATAAATAATAATTATTATTAATTATTGATATTCTATTATACTTAATGTAATGATTCTAAATGAATGGTTGAATGTTCTCAATAAGAGGAGGTTATAGTCACACATATGTCTATTTGATATTTGTTGGAATTAATTTTTATGATTTTAGACATAAGATAGATCTCTATCTAAAATGATTTTATTTAGAATTTAAACGAAATCATCTAGATACCCAGAAATACTATATAATTTATTAATTAATTAATTAATTATTTTAAGTGAACTCAAGATTTAAAATAATATTTATTTATCAAACTTATTTTGATAAAATAAAATATTTTTTTTAATTTTTATTAAATATAAAAAGTTAAAATTAAGTATGCCTAATTTATCATAAAAAAGAATCTTAATATCATTTAAAAATAGGTTTATCATTATAACATTTATATCAGCATTAAGAAGCCAATAAATGCTATGATGAGGCTTTAAAAATCAATCCGAATTGTAGCGAGATATGTTATAATAAGGGTAATAAAATCGAAAATATTTTTAATATTTTAGGCAATGCTTTATTATAGAAAAGATTCGTTTCATTACTGTTAAAATAAGTTAATTATTGAAGTTAAAGAACTTGAATCATTACTAGGAAGCAATTAAATCTTATAATAAAGCTTTATAAATTGAATCAAAAACTAAACTAAGAACAATATTAATTAGTCTAATTGAAATTAATAATAAATTTTTGTTATTTACTTTTCTATATATATCACAATTTATTTATTTATGATTTTAGATATTTTTTCATTGTAAATATGATTTAAACTTTTTTATATTTAGTAACATAAAAACAGATAAAATAACAAATAAATTCATAAAAATAGCAAAATTGTTATCTTAATAAAAGCCAAAAAGGATATAAAATTAATAATAATGATAGTTGATTATCATTTATTCATCTTTATTGTTTATTATTTAATTCTAAGTTAATTCATACATTACATAAATAATTATAGATTTTACTTCTCTCATCATTCATTATCAGATAATTGAATGAGCCTTTAAATTATAGATTTTAATTTATTTGATTTCTTAAATTAGAATTATATTATAATTTAAAAACTTATTAATGAATTAATTGATATACTAATTAAAAAAAAAATTATCAGTAATGATTAGAATTTTTCTTCTAAATTCCACTTATATCTATGTGAATTATATATTATATTAATGAATTAGAATAAATTATATGAACCTAAGGTTTGCGAAAAGGAATAAAAACTTTATTATATGAAATAAGAAAGCTATAAAAATATAAATATTTTTGTTTGCTATGACTTAACAAAAAAAGCCTTGATACCGTTGAAATTTGCAAAATATTCAACCAAGATAAAACCTGGTTTGTGCATAGTAGAATTAGAATTAATATATTCTAGTGAAGAATAGAATGATCGAATAGAACTGGAATACGTTTTTTCAATTAATGAAGATGCAGTTGTTACTAAAATGGTTGTAGAATTATTTGGTGCATGCTATCCTATTTTTACTCTTTTTATTTAAGAAAATCTCAAATCCTATTCACTATATGCCATTGTTTTTCCTTGTTGTAAACCTTCTTCATAATCTTATTTAGCTTCCTCCTTTTCCTTCACTACACCATAAACTTTAATTTCTCCTAATAAGCAATTGAAAATTACTTTTGAATATATATAACCTTTAGAGGTTTTTCTTAATAAATTTTTGAAATTTAATTTATTCCCTATTGTTGATCAAAATTATGTATCTTAGAATAGAAAAACAATGATTGGTATTCATGGCATAGAGATTTATGAATATTTAAATAGATTATTTAAGATTAATGATTTCAAGTTTTAATTTAGATAAGAAATTGAAGTGGAAATAGATTTTGGATCACCCATTAAATTTTGGAAATCTCCTACTCATAAACTGTAATCAACAAATGCAAAATAAAGTGAAGATGTAAAATCTTATGGAAATAATAAAAAATTAATACTTGTTTTATAGGATATTCCTGATAATTATGAACCAACGAAATAATTTACATTACTTTTTTCTTCAGATGAAATTAATCTACCTGACTAAATATTGATTTAGATTGATATAGTTAAAGGAAGTATAGAAGAATACTCATCCACTATTAGGAAATTTTTAGAGAAAGGAAAAAATTATTCTTTAATAAAAAAGAAATTCTTATTAATTTTAAGAAAAAAACTAAAACTTACTTAGAAGAATTTGTGAATTAAAAATTTGATAAGAAGAGGAGAGAATGCAAATAAAAGTAAAAATCCTCATAAATCATAGGTTCTTGTTCATATATAAAAAGTATAAACCAATTTAATATAGTTCATTGAAGATTTCTTGATAACGGATACGAAAATATACAATGAAAACCTAAATAGTTTCAAAAACAATTGAGAAAGGCTTGTTCAGAATAACTGATTACAAAAAATCAATAATATCAATCAGATTATAAATTATTTTAATAAAATAATATAATATATCCCGATCATGAATACATATCAATACAATTTATCGGTTTGATAGATAAAATAGACTATTTTTAATTCCCAATATATTTCATTTATATTTAATTATTTCCTAATTTGGAAATTCACGATAGAGAAAGAGAAAATATGAACTATAAGTTTTTTAAAGAGAAAATTGATATCGTTAAAAAAAATAGATAAATATTCACATTATTTGCTGATAATATGAATATTTATACAAACTGTGATATATTTATATATTAGGTATGAAAATATGGATTATATGCAAAATAATTTGACATAAACTTTAACTTTAGGGCTAATCAATAAACGATTAACTGTGATGAAAGGTTTGCATAAGGACATTTCTATTAATTGTTGTATACAAAATAAGAATTATAAATAATCTTTCATTTATTTTGATATTTTTAATAAATTATAACAACATAGGAATTATGCAGCAATGTTTTATTAAATTTATTTATTTTGCTGTTATGTTCAAATTATGAATTATGCAAATCCTTTTTTTATAAAATATTTGTCTTCAATATTTTATCCATAATGAGAATTATGTTTTATCTATTCAATAATTTATTTGTTTTAATAGCCAATATCAGTAATTATTTATAAAATATAATAAATATTGTAAATTCATACTGATATCAAAAATATTGATATCTTTTATACAAATAGTAATGGATTCAAACTTGAAAAACGAAGAATCAATCACAGAGAATCATGAAAAACAAAAATGAAAGAGAAAACATCAGGTAATTATTTTCCTGTAAATGGGGCTATTATGATTATGAATAAAGATGGAAATTCTGCTTGTGCAATTTTGAATGACAGAGCCTAAGGAGGGTCAAGTTTAACTTAATTTCTTTTTATCATTACTTGGTTCTAACTTCTATCATCTGTTTATTAAATATTATATTAGTCAGCATTATTTTAAATGTGATAAAATATCTCATCACCTTCGCTTTGTTACATTTTCTAATTTTCTTCTTTGCTCATAATAATTAAATACTAAAAATTATAATTATGAGTTTATTTAATCTGTAATGGAAATTAACAATGTTAGTTTTTGTAATCTAAAAAGAAATATAGATATGTAAAGTTTAGAATTTGATGATTATGAAATTAAATATTTATAAGAAAGAACTTTTCAAATTTATATATGAAAAACGCAGTTTTAATTCTAAGTAATAAAATATATTTGAAAATAAATAAAAAATAATGTAATCAGAACTTGAGATTTAAGCAGTTATAGGATTTACAGGTATTTAAAATGTTTATAATAAAAGGAAAAATAACTTAAGGATTAGATTTACTTCCAGATAATGAAGTATAATATATTATATTAGCTTAAAGCATATTATTTATCCATTGAGTTCAACCATCGTAGTTAGACATATCATTACTAGATAATAAACATTTTTAAGGTATGGATAAGTGATATATTAAATTAAAAGGCATGATAATTAGATCTCTTTGATAACAGTTTCTAGAACTGGAGATTATGTTGCATCTGGATAAAAAACTTATATGAGATTCTAAGCTGATATTATAATATGGGATTTCAAAGACAGAAGCATGATTCATAGAATAAAATTACATAAAATATTAATTTAATCACTAAGCTTTTCTTATAATGAATTATACTTGGCATTATTGGGTGGAATTGATGATAAAAATATGTTGATTGTTTTGGATATTAAAGCAGGAAAGGCATTGTGTGGAACACCTAATCGTGATCCAGTAAATTAAGTCTAATTTTACAACTAATCAGATGGAAAAATGATAGCAGTAAAAATACTGGAGTAGAGATTTTAACAATAGATAAATAAAATAAAAAGGTATAATAGAAGATTATATAAAGATTTAATTTGTTGATGTGAATTTTGGAAATTTTAAAAGAACCTTTAATTATGTTGCAATAGAGAAAAATGATAAATTTTGTTATTGTGGAACAAAAACAGGAGATGTATTTGAAGTGTAAATGGATATGGTCATTTATAAAAGATTGGCACCAGTCAAAAAATTATTTTCTTAAGGAGTTAATTGTTTAGGTCTATTACAAAATGGTGACTTAATAGTTGAAGTAGGAAATTGTATGTATGCAAAAGTGTCATTTTAAACAATGTAAATAGTGGCAAGTAGTGAATTATTAGGAGGTGTGACATCTATTTCATTTACAAATGATTAGACTCACTTTTTTGTAGGAACTAGTTAAAGCAATATTTATTGGTTGGATAACCTTCCCTCATAATTATTCAGATGTATTTGCTACTAGTTCATTAAATGATATAAGAGTTTGGAATGCTAAGAATAGATAAGAGTTACTTAGAATTTAAGTTCCAAATCTTGAATGTCGGGCTATTGCTATTATGAATGATGGTAAAAGTATTGTAAGTGGTTGGAGTGATGGAAAGATCAGAGCCTTTTTACCATAATTAGGTAGATTGCTATATGTAATTAATGATGCATATATTCATGGTTGTACATCTTTGACTTGTGCATCAGATTGTTAAAGAATTATTTCAGGGGGATCAGAAGAAGTTAGAGTATGGGAAATTGGAAAATAAACTTAAGTTATGAAATTTTCAATGTAAGAACATAGAGTAAGAGTATGGTCTATTTAGGTTAGAAGAATAATGAGTAAGGAGTTAGTGCTAGTGCAGATGGGCCTTGTATTATTTGGAATCTTAAATCATTTACCAGAGTTATGTGTTTATTTGAAAGTACTTTATTCAAAATGGTTTTGTATCATCCTGAAGAGAGTTAATTATTAACTACTGGAAGTGATAGAAAAGCATCTTATCATTTTATAAAAGATTACTTACTGGGAAATCTTTGATGGATAAGCTATAAGAATGTTAGATGGATCTGAAGAAGGTGAATTTAATGCTTTAGCAATTACTAAGGAAGGAGAGCATTTTGTATCAGGAGGAGAAGATAAGGAAGTTAAATTATGGGGATATGATGAAGGAATCTGTTATTTTAAAGGTTAAGGACATTCAATTACTATAACAAGAGTATTTTTTAATTTTCAATTAGATTACTATAAGTCCTGATTAAAAACTATTATATCAGTTAGAGCAGAAGGAGCCATATTTATATTGAAAATGCCTGAATCTGTTAAAAACTCTAAAACATAATAAGAATTACCAACTGTTCAAAGTGTAAAAAAACAAATGAGTTTCAATAATAATAATAATAATACCTAAAGACACATAATCATTAAAATCAATTCTAAATGCTAAATCAGTCAAATCAGGAACCAAATCATCAAAAAAATGATAGAAGTTTATTTACATTCATAATATTGTATCTAAATTTTATTAGAATTTAGAATATAAAATTTCTTGTAGATAATCATTTTTTTGATTATCCAAATTAATTCAATTTATTGCGATTACTTTCCAACATATCATCCTATTTTGATTTCACTTAATTTTTAAATATTTGAATCAATATTTTTAATATCACTTTATTTACATGAATTTAATAATCCTAATTTAGTGCTTAATTCTACTATTACTATTTGTCATTCTAATTGTATTATTTCCCTTACTAAGTTTGAGTAGTATACTCTGCTTTTTTAATTAAATGTTAATTTTTTTAATCTTTATATTGAGCTTAAATTTATTAAATAATTGCTATTTCTGCTGATTTCTTTATTTAATTCAAATCAAATTAAGTGACATCATAATGCTTTTCTAATTCCTCTTTAATTTATATCCTTATTGTATTAATTAAATTGATATAATCTTAGTCATTCATAAGTTAAGCTTACAGCATTAATTATCTGCAACAAGCTTTCTTGTACTTCCAACTAGGATATGATTAGCATCTTAGTGTAATTTATGATGTAAGGTATAATTTTCAACAAATTACTACCCTTCCCAAATTGTTGTTTCTTTTGGAATGGATGAATTATAGCAAATGTATTAAATAAATATAAAAATACCTATAATTATATACACTAATGCCAAATATCCAAAGACTCCTATCAAAATATAACCAGAATAATTATAGTAAGATTCAATTGCAATAAAAGTATAAAAGAGAATAAAATTCAACATTAATTAAGTACCTAATTTTTTCTTCTCAATACTTCTCTATGGAGCTGATGTTACTTATTTAGTTAATTAAAGAAATTACCAAAAATACGATATCATAGAAATTTTGACAAAAATCCAAACTATTCCTAATTTTTTTGTAGTTAATTGAAAAATTAACACAAAAAGTACAAAAATTAATAAAATTATTTCATAATTTGATTATTCAGTTAGTAATATCTCACCATGTATGATTATTAAATTTGCCAAATTAAATACTGATACTCCCAAATCTAAATAATTTTAAGTTTCAATTAGATAATTAATATACACACTAATGTATTTCAATTAAGAAAATTTAACAATTCATTATCCATAGAATAAGAAGTATTCTTAATATATTCATCCTCTTAAACTTCAAAATTAATTTCATTTTACTTATCATATTCTTTAGTGAATAATACATCAATATTTGAAGAACTTACTGAAATTTGAAATAAAAATGATATAGTTATGTTAGTAATAGGAATAATAAAACATTAATGGTATAGAAAATTAGTAGTCTAACAGCCAAAGCAGTATATCCAATTGATTCCTCAAATAAGTTATAATTGAGTTAATATGGACATTAAAAGGAAAAGAAAAAACCTAATATTATTGAAATATAAATTACAAATTGAAATCCCAAAGTAATTATATAAAACGTAGATTTTAGAAATAATCCATTGTAAAACATTCTTAAATAAACAAAAAAAAATCTGCATTTCCTTAATTAATTGTTGATATTTTATTGGTATTCACAAAATTAATTAAATACAATTTCAAATTAATTCTCAGAAAATTACTATTTGATAATGTAATTTTTTATAATTTTTAATTCTTTACCTGAATATTCAATCATAATTCTAGGTAATATTGAATTATATCCTAATATACAAGAATTAGTAAAATATTTACTCTCAAGTTTACGGATATAATCATTTATTATAGGTTCAATTCTAGACTATTCATAAATACAAGAGAGAGGATTATGAAATTATTTAATTTTAAACATGGAATCTAATTTAAGTGCAATATCTGCAAAATCTCCTTATTAATTATTCCAAAATCTCCCATTATATTTAATTTTTTTTTTCTAACATGAAATTCCAAAATATTTATTATTCTCTAAATTTGTAAAAAGTTATAAGATATTAATATCATGAAGAAAAACTTCATTACTAGATGCAATTACAAAAAACTTTGGTTAAATTAATTTTAGTATCCCTTAATAAATCCATTTAATTAAATCTAATTACTCTAATTATCTGCCAAAAACAAAATAATATCCTATTTAATTTTATATTTAGAAATAGATGGAATGATGATTAGAAGTCATAAATTTTTATTAAAATGGAACGTATTTAGTTTAATAAAAATCTAAGAATAATGCTTCATTAGATCTCATTAATTTCTTAAATGCAGATTTACCATTTATTTATATTATTGGTTTTATTTTTGTTGATTCATTGCTATACTTCTATATTTCAAGAGTTAAACTTTCATAAGTTTCTCATTTATAAATTAATATTGTTACATTTGATCCAGGAATGTTAGTTGTGTTTTATTCAAAGCTAATTTATGCTTAACTTTACTATAATACTTAAGTCTAATATTCTTTTAAAAATTCATATTATCCTGCATTAGGTTAGAGTGATTTAGGGCCAAACATTACATCAGGTAAATAATTTTCTAGATTTTGGTTTATTTTTTATGAAAACTATAATGATTGTTCAACTATTTCAATATATTTTTTCATATATTCTATTTTTTTAATAAGCTAATTTTTGTGTTTTATAAATGAATCGTATTATATCAAATTTATCAAGTGATAGTGGGTAAGGAAGGTATTATTTATTTTTTTTAATCTTCTATTTCTATTTGAAAAGGTATTTCTTCTTTTTCTATACTCATTTTATAAATATTAATATTCATAATTGTTCTATAATTAAATTACTTTAATATAAGCAGCAATAGATTATAAATGAACGAATCTTTGAAATAAATATTTTTGTTATTTAAATATGAAATGAATCATTATCAGATTTATATAATTGTATTTAGACTTTTGATAAGATATTTTTGATGATTAAAATAGAAATAATATATATTATATATATAAATATATTATGGATTAGGTGGATAATAATTAAGTTTATTAACTGATTAGGTTTATAAGATAAACCATTAGATTATTTTCATGAAAAATAAGATGCTTGTGATTTCATTAAAGATTCTATTTATTAATATGGAAAGGATTTGTGTATTATTTGTATTGGATCAATGACTAATATTTATTTAAAATTATAAATGTATCCAGCTATTGTAGATAAACTTGGATGTTTATTTGCTATGGGTGGAACATATATGGGAGTAGGAAATGCAGCTAATTCAGTAGCTGAATTCAATGTATAAACAGATGTAGAAGCTACAGCAGCAGTAGCTATGGGAAAGTTTAAATAAAAGATGTTATTGCCATTTGATGTTGTTTTAGCTTACACTTTAATAAATAAAATGGAAAAGTCATTTTTGAGAATAAAGCTAATACAAAGAAATCTCAATTTGTTGAAAGTATTTTCAAAGCTGTAAGTCATGATGGAAATTACATACTTTTTTGATAGTGTATTCATTTACAATATCTATTATAGAATTGGCTGTAATGGTAGCATTAGTACCAAGTTTGATAGTTTATTCTATATAAAAGAATATATCTATTGTCTCTGATGGATAGGCAAGAGGATAAGTTATCATAGATTGGTTAACATTGCTGAGAGGAAATCAAAAATCAATACTAAGTATTCTAACAGCTTTTGAATGGGATTCTGTTATTGAAATAGCTACTAAAGCTAATTAAGATCAATAATGATTTATAAAGATCAAATATTTACATTAATTTAAGAATTTTAAAATTCATAATCCAACTTCAAATTATTCTTCTATTTTTGGTTAATAATTTAATAAATCTCCAGGATTATCTACTTTTAGTAATTTATTAATTAAAGGAATCAAGTATATAAGAAGAAGGATCAATTCAATAAAGTAAAGTAAAACAATAAAAACTAAACTACAATATTACTATTTTTAAAAGCAATATGAATAATGGATTATTTAAAATATTCTGACTCTCATCAAATTAAGAGTATTAATTTTCCAACAAGAATAATAGCTGGAGAATTAAATCATAAAATATCTTAAATTTATTATGATGAAGTATATATGAAGGAATAGTAATAAAATCTATTTATTCCAATCTTAAAAGAAATACTTAATATTGATAAATCTATATCATTTTTTGATAATTATTTTGCTTTAAAAAAATAGATTAAAAAATAGGAAATATTGTTAATAATTATAACTTTTTTTTTTAAAACCTAAACAATATCAAAAAATATCAGAGAAATGGGATTGCTATAAAAAATATAAATATATATTGTTATAATCAATTAGACTTTCACTAAAGTTTTATTTAGCTTCCAAAATTAATTGGATATACTAATCTTCTTTTTGATTGTACTATCAGGAAAATAAGAATCTAAATTAGATAGACTCAATAATAATATTCATTCAATATACTACTCTCTCTTGTCATCTCCCTCCACTAAATTCTCTATTAATACCCTTAGAGAGAAGCATACTGAATAAATCCATATTGTATGGCTATTTGATTAAAATTTTTATTTTCCTGATGTAAATAATTCTTTAGATGGAATTTTATGTTCATCCATTTACAATTGAACATCTAATCTCCATTAAAATTGACTCCACTGATATCCACATTCTCAAATTCTGATCCATTCAAATCACATCTTACAAAGTTTCCTCCAATCAAAGAAGTATTCTTTATTCTGATATTCTCAAAGCATTGATTTCTGACATCTACCTTCATCATTACCAGCATATGAAGTGAATTGGATCCAAATTAGATGAATTGATCATCTATACTTGTAAGCATGACCAAAAATGTAAGTAACTCCATTATGTTCTTACTATCTGATATATTCTTTATCAGTTCCTTTTTAATCTCTTCAAATGGTTCTGAGGAATAATCTTTCAAATTGAATTCATGATCTTTTAAGTTCTTCAGGATATTTATTATCTTCTTCATTTGCTCCTTCTCCTTTTGATCTTAATATTTAAATGATTAGAGATATGAGACACAATCTTTTATTTACTCCTTCTTGAGCTTATCTAAGAGTTTCGTGAATATTGATGATGAGTCATCATCATCAATAATAATCTAATTAGCATTGGCTAAAATTTATAAGAGATCCTCCTGTCTCTCAAATACCTCCTGCTCTTCTTGTACTATTTCTACCTTCTATTATTACACACGTCTATATAAATTAATTAAAAACTTATTATACCTAAATGATTTGGTCTCATCAGGAGTGATATTGATGATCACATCTATTTTTACTGGAGGAGGATCCGGTAATTTTACAAGTTCTGTACTTGTTCTTTGGTCCTTCTTCTATTCAGGTGCTGCCTTTAAACAAATTTACTCGTAAATGGAGTCAATGAAGCCATTAACTCTATTGGATGATTCCTAAGAGGGTAAAAAGAAATTCTTACATCCATAAATTGATCGAAGTTTTGAATGCACTGTTTAGCTCTTCTTAATTCTGTTCCTAAAAGGATACAGATTCCCTTTCTTAAAAGGAAAATATTTAAATAAATGATTTGAAGAAATAAACTTCTATTAAGTTTTATATGTAGAATTTAGATCAATATAGATTAATATCAATTATTTTTCAAAGTATTCTTATAGAATATGTATTTTGCCTCTAAATACAATCCAATTTAAGTTGACATTTATAAAAATATGATGTTACCTAATTTTATTTAGAATATTTTTTAGTTGTGCTCACAGAAGACTTAGCTTCAGAAATGGTATTTTCAAATAATTTCTAAGAAAATGAATAACGCTAGGAGCCATGAGGCAGTACATTTGATAGGGTTTCCTCTAATTTTACTAGTCATAAGTATTTAGATACAAGTTCATCATAATCATAGAGTCATTTTTGTTCTGTATTATTATGATAATGAGGTATGATGTAGTCTCAGGTCATTTATTAATGTTTAATAATTCTATATGATCCTAATTGCCATAGAATTAACTGCATATAATTTAGATAGTATAACATTAATTTTTGTTCTACATCTAATTATGAAATGTGTAATTTTTTGGCTATCTTCCTTTGAACAGTATGATATAACTAGATGCATTTTATTTAAAGACAGACAGCTTTCGTTAAGGAGAAAAGTAATCGAGATGTAAAATGATTTCACTTCTCATTTTGTAAATTATCAAAAATGAAGTTTTGCAGGTGTCTTACTCTATTATCGTTATTGGATTACATTTTGAAGGCTACATCACTTTGGTCTTCGAATTCCAGAGTCTATTAAAGTGTGGCAAATCCTTAAATTTAGTAGAGAAAACTTTGAATGTGGTAAGCTAATCGCCTAGGCTTTTATTAATGTTAATCTAATGATCTATATATTAATTTCAAAAAACTTAGGATTATTGCTCAGCTGTGTGTATTAATAGATTTTATAAGGTCCATTTATATTTCTATTGGTGGCAAATTATGATGCTCATTTGAATTTTTCTTCATTTCTTCTGTAATATCTTTTTCGGTTTTGGGACATAATTTAAAAAATGGATAAAGTTGCCTTCTAAACTAATTTAGAGCCTTTTTTTTAAGTATATTTAATTCACTAAAATATTTTAACTACCAAAATAAACACTAAAGTATTTTAATTAAACCTTCCACCCTAAAGCAGAAACATTATTTCTAACCAAGGTCATTAAAGGATTTCTTCTCTCAAGAAAATATTGGTATTTTAATTTTTAATCATCCTAGTGGGCTTCTTCAATAATTATATTGAGGTAATAAAATTTTTTTATTACTTCTAATAATATCCTTAAAGATTCTTTTCGGATGTTAAAAGATTTAAAAATAATCATTCATCATATCCATAAATAACAGCGATTACCCAGTCTCCATTTTTCAGCCTTATTTCATATCGATTTCTTTTAATGGACAACTGACTAGGACGAGCAAGGTCCTACATTAAATACTTTTTTTATTTTTAAATGAAAAATCACTCTCTAGAAACAGTAAGGTAGACTTTGGCATAATTAGAATTAGGAATGGAGCCTTTGAACTGCACTGTAATAAAACTTAATAGTTGATAAACTTTTCCTTTCTTCATTTTATGATTTATCATTTGGAGACTATCACTTGATAAATCATTTTCTATTTGAAGCAGGTTGGAGTTGGGATTAAATTACTTTCACATGAATATTTTTGCAAAAATGTCATCACCAAACTAAATTAATGTATTATATTCTTAATTTGACTCAAGAAGAACAAATTTTTATTTAAAAAAAAAATTGAGATTTAATTATTTAAGAACTCTAAATAAATAAATAGATTCTTTTGTTAATTCTAAATTTATTAAGCACTTAGACTTCTTTATCCCTCTTTATGATTTAATTCAAAAATATCAAATTAATAGGACAATTTGATTATGAATATTTTTAATAGGACCATATGATTTTTGTGTAATTATTATTAAAAACCATTTTTCATGCTGATGGTTAATTTCTAAGAGTTATTTTTTATATCATCCACTTCAATTAAAAAATGTTTTTTGAAAAGACACTTGACTTTAATATTATATTCCACTTTTTTGATAATCTTGTAATAATGATATGGATAATTGGGTAATATATATAATTTGCTTATTTTTTTTTAATTTAATAGGCTTATATTTTCTTCTCATTCCTCTTTCAAATTGTTAGTTTTTAAGGTTTTCTGCTATTAGAAGTTATCTGATATATCTTTTAATTAATAAGTTTTTTGGAAGCTTCAAATTAAGTTCAGATTAAATAAAATTAAGAAGCTCTTCCTAAAAAGGGTCTTTGCTGAATTTTTAATTAATTTTAATTCTATTTAATTATGTTTTGAAATATATTCTATCATTTCTTATCAATTTTAAGAGCCAGAAGATGTAATTAGATTTACGAAGAGCAAAATATATATTTACAGCCACTTTGGTGAAATCTTAAGACTTTCAAAACAAAATTATCAGTAAAGATATATAACTTATTATATAATAAATTTTAAATTTATTTATCATCATTAATTTATTTCTTTACTAAGATTTATCAACTAAATTTAATCTAAATGAGTGTTTTTTAATAAATAAAATATAAACATTGATCAATACCATAAATCATTTCAAAGTAACAAAGATTCTTGTCGTTCAGTCTATATTCTCCAAAATTAATTCTCTTGTTCTTCATCAGGCTTAGAACAAATTCTGGAATGATTTCCAAAATTTGAAAATTAACTTTACCTTATATTATGGTCAAAAATATTTTAAGGATCTTCCCTTCAAAGAGTATCATAAAATCATATAATATAGCTAATTACTATTTTCTCATTATTGTTATTATTCTTACTTAAACCTAACAAATTGAATATTTTCTTTACTTTCTAACTTTAAAATTTTCCCTAGCTAAAGTTAATAAATATTCTTTTAAAATTCAAAATCTTTTTTAAATTCTTGGAAATTTACTTTAACTTGTTTCAAAGGTTTTCTAAATTTTAGGTTTAGAACGAAGTTAAGTGGAAGATAGATGAATAATTTTTTTTTGATGCGATCAATTTTATCAAAAATTCTATTAAAGTATGCTAAAATGATAGAAACAATAGTAACATAAAAAGGCCAAGTTATTTCATTAAGATTTTACTACTATCCAGAATGAATAGAACATGCTAAGACGATTGAAATGGCAATAAGGATTGATTGTTTATCTAAGATATTCAATTACTTAGTCATACAAGGATTAATTTATTCGGCTAAGTGACTATAAGAAAATAACAACAGAAAAATTAAAGATGCTTTTCATAGTAATTTAATCATCATAGTTCATTCGAGCCAAAGCTGAATAATGTTCAATATTAATATTTCTGACAAAATCTTTATTATAGATGTCTACCTAAAATGAAGAATTTTAGGATAAAATGTAAGAAGTTTATCGTTTATACTATTTGGGAATTCTTTAAGATTATCAAAAAAAGTGTTCAATTTCATTTATGAAATTGCTATTAATATTATTTTTCAAAAGATGCTCTGTTTTCATAATTTCCCTAATTATGAAAGTTAAAATTAATCGAGATTTTAATTTAAGATATTTCATTGTTAAGATTAATATAACTTAGTATTCTCTATTATATAAGAGAGCTACTATTTATGAACCAAAAATAAAAAATATTAGTTCACTCTTAATACTAAGATTCTTAATGAACTTTATTCTAAAATAAAAATATACAATTGGTTAAGTTTCTTTTATCAACTTTAAATTCAAATTAAAAAGTCATAGACTAAGAATTAGAAAAAAAAGCTGACTACTAAAGTATTTGTGTAATACAATACAGATTTTCTGTAATTCTTTTCATCATAATCAATCATTAATTCATAACATACTGCATCTCTAATAATTAGAGCAAGAATCGTTGTAATAATCATGAAAATAAGTATTAACATCTTGTATTTTAGAGGACCGTTCAAAATTTTCTATATATTATTCTATCAATAATTAGTAACCTGTTTACAATCATTCATATTGTTGTATATAAATATTTAATGATGAATACAATTATTAATCTTAAAGAATCTTTTGAGTTTATCTTATGAATGATAGTTTATTTGTTTAAATCTCAAAATAATATTAAGAAATAAGGTTGATTTATATTAAAATCCGCTTGAATAATCTTTCACAAGATTATTATAAATAGTCTTTGAAAATGGAAGTATATAATCACTGATCAAATTAAATTCGCTTGGCATTCTAAAACTAACATAAGTCTCATAATTTTAGAATTTAAAATATTATATGTTCAACTTGAAACTTTGAATTTGGAGTCAATTTACAAAATAGATATGATAATTAAGGATAGTAAAATTATGAAGCAAATAATTTATTTGATTTTTTTTCTTATCTTTTGAATTAAAGAAATATCTAATAAAAGATTGTCCTAAATC